CCAGCAAGTTAATTGTCCTGCAGACAGGCTGTCAGTGCCCACACCCTCTGTTTACGTTATTTACTGGGCAGAGGCACTTCAACTGGGCCTAACAAGGTAAATTATGCAGTACCTATTATGTTTTTTTTGCAGAATACCTCTCCCTTTGTGCTGCCACTTCAGAATATGATCAAAAAGACCTTATTTAGGGGTAGCAAGCCTTCCCCCCACCCCTCCAAAAAAACCCCCATCCCCTCCACACGCAGCTTTGTAAAGCCAGCACCAAAATACTTCTGACTAAGATATAAAAAGGCAGTTACAGCTCCGGACAGCAGGTTGAGATAATAGTTAACTTAAACCCTGCTGTTTGGCAGAAAACAAGTCTCTGCAGTATTGGATTCAGAGGGCAGCATCATGTCTGGAAAAACAAACGTGAAGGAGAAGCAGTGCTGCTTTGGGCTGTCAGAGAAAACCCTGCCAGACGAGGAATTATACAGAGATGGATCTTCTTTAGGGAGGTTACATCTTCCTCAGCTTTTACTTCCAATTACATGGAAGGCTCAGGAACACATGGAGAAAGAATTGCTCATTTATATTAATGGATCATATATTTATGTTGATCCCCCCCTCCGCAATAGCCCATCCTGCCACTGTGTCAGGCAACAGCTTTGGTTAACTACAAAGCCCCAGATCTTATCTATCCCACTTATTACCATTAAATACCCATGCTGATGGTGGCTAGCAGGTTTTCCCTTCCCTCACCCCTTTTCTCCTCATCTTTACAAAACCTCATATAGTCCAGAATTATGGAGTTGTGTTTTTCTGTTTGTTGTTTTTTTTTTTTCCCTTACACTCAGTCTAAAGAACCCTCAAGAATTTTGAATTTCAAAAAAAAATTAGAAAAAGAAACCAAACCTCAGACCACACTCTTTCCTCTCATCTCTGTCCTTCCACCACCTGTCATAATTGTTATATACATGATTTTTACAAGCGTTTTTTTCACCAGTGTTGGCTAAAGAAAATGCAGGGAGAAAAAAACTCTGAGGCAAATTAGTTTTGGAGGTGAGATAAGGAAAGGATTATAATTTGTGCCTCTGAGGCATAGAGATTACATGATGCGCACCTTCTGTGCCTCAGATGTTACAATTTATAATACTGCCCGACCAATCCAAGTTTTGTCCATCCCGTAGCTTTTGCCCTTAGTCACGCCCCTTGGGAATTGGAGTTAGGGGCTTTTTGAGAGCCCCTCTTCATCATCTTCATCATCTTCAGGGTACAGGGGGCACATGTTCACCCAGTTCTTGACTGTACTGTTGTGGTTTAGGCCAAGGTACAAGTCTTCTCTAAACAAAAGGGCCTACTCTTAAAAGAGAGACTAAACATTTTCTACTGGAATTCAGGGGATATTGATATGTGAGCATGGAATGGGGTGATGGGGTAGGGGAATGTGTAAACTACTGTGCTAAAGGGTAGAGGAATAAGGGCTGCTGCTTCTAAAATCTACTTTTACTACTTAACTACTTATAAAGCTTATAAAATTAGGAAAACAAGAAAAAAACAGATGGACCTTACGGCATCACCAGCAAGGTTCATTTTCAAGGGTACATTTTATTGCTGGCTCTGGCTTAGCTGGGTTCTCAGCAACACTATTTATACACTGTCATTTTTCAAAGAGCGGCATGCTCTACATAGCTAATGGAAAAAGGTGGCACAACCACAGGAAAAGAACTTAATATTATTCATGGAATACCAGAAAAGGAAAATGGAGTAGTGGATCACATTAATTCCAGCAAATACTATTATTTTAAACTCATTTAAATGCAAGTCAAACTTATTGACCTATCATGCTAGAAAACGACTAACATTTATCTTCTCACTGCAATCAGAGCAAACAGAAGCTCGCTGGGGAGCTGGTCAGAGGAGGGGAAATTCTACCTTTATGCTTTACTTAATTGAAACTGTGGTTAATTGCACCAGTCCCCATCTGTTCAGGGGGTCTCACTGTTGCTGTCCTTTCACCTGGATCTGCCATAAACCAGCCAGTGCTACTCCAAAGTCTGTTTTTCCAGTATCACATAACCCAAACTTACACCATTCTTCCTATTTTTCAACCCGTCTTTTTGTGATAATTGAAGATGTAATTATAATACCAGTAACAATAAACTAATATGTTATTGGGTTCCTCTGATGCACATTCCAATTTCCAGTTAAGCAATCCAGAGACTTAATCTGTTTTGCCCCCACTACACATATTTTCACACATTAAAACGATAATTAAAAATAACTTCTTATGGCTGTTTAATGGACTCCACTGAGGTGAGAACAGGTAGGAATATTTTTATAGCACTGGACAGCCAGAGTCTATATATAACTTTGTAACTTCATTTTTTTGATCATGAAGTTGAGAACAATCAATTACTATTTCATGGAGGCAGCAAATATTTCTCTTCCCTTTGCCTTAATAATTCTATTAAATTTTTTGAGAAACACCCATTGATGTTACTACACCAAGTCAATGAAGTGCAATGTGTACATGAGCCTTACCTTTAAATAATAAAAACAGCTTGAATGTGTTAACCTGTGCAATTCTGTCCAAACTCTCATCTAAAGCTCATGTTCAATAAGAATGGCTGCTAATTCGATTGTCATGACAACCAAAATCTATAGTTTCATATTTTCTTCCTCCAGCCCAATTTGCTTATAAACCTCTAATTTTGTTTCATGTTCCTATGTCAAACTCAAACAGAAATAAAACAATCTCAGGCTTGCAAGAAACATGAAAGGAGTAGCTGGGAACTTACACTGGAAAATATTTTTAATTTTCACCCCACTGTTTAATTAGCAGCAACAAGATTTTAAAACAATTTTCATAAGTAACTCATACTCTTATTGGAGTGGTTCACCACTTTTAAACCACACTGGAGTGTGGTTCATGAAATCCAGTATCCAGTCTCCAGTGCAGGTTAATACCAGATGCTTCAAGACACAACTGAACAAGACCTAAAATTTCTGTTCACTGGGTGGGGGGGAGTCAAATTCCCATTGCTTTCTGAAAATGGGATCTGAATAGGATACACTGTAAAATTAATTGCTGAGCAGAAATTCCATGAGCAGTTGATTCGAAAATAATATATTATTTTTCATCACATCAAAATATTTACCCCATTCCACGTAACTGCACAAGTCCTTCCAGAGCTGTCCCAGCATACAACAGAATGATCCCCAAACTAAAACCATTCAAAATATTAAAACATAGGGACACCTCATTCACATCTGCTCAGATTTGACTGAGTAACTGCTTGAGAACTATACCTTACAGAAATAAAATGGTAAAGTGTGAAGCTCTCTGGAAGAAAAGTGAAACAAGTTTGAGTTTGTGTCAAAACAGAATTCACGAAAGGGAAAATTATATCAGGAAAACTGGGAAAAACTCTGGGACCATTAATACTTTCCTTAAAAGTGGCATCTAGCAAGTAAAAAATACAATAATTCACACAGATGTGTTATGTCCCAGAGGTCCTTTAACCGCTGCTTTGTTTCCTTCACACAGTTTTAATGACAGAGAAGCACCACTTGCATATTGCTTTTTGGCTGTAACATCAAACCTGCAAGGGTTTTATTTTTCTACCTCTTGTTTTTTCAATTGATTTATCTCCTACCAAGTCAAGGTGCCTTGAAGGGAATCCAAAAGGCTATTTTAAAAATAAATATTTCGTTGGGTACTCAGACTATTATACAGCTGAGTGTGATGGAATACACTTGTTTTGCACAACTTAATTCTACAGTTGCTGGGTTTTAATGAATCTACCTATTCCACTTATTATCATTATCAGTTCATTCTGCATACTTATAGTGATACTTCTGTCTCTACAATCACTCAGGGCTGGGTACTTCCATGTTAGTATCTGTGGTGGGAATGTGTTTAGAGAAGTCCTTCCTAAACGAGAAAGTGAGGTGAGTAAAAAAATCTACCAGAGTTTTCTGGCTCATCTGTTTAGCAGCCAACAAACAAATAAAAGAGTAGGGGGACTTAAAATAAACCATAGAATGGGTTAAAGACCAACATGAATTTGAAGAACAGTCAAATGAATAGATAGATAAATAATTAATATGGTTGAAGAGGAAGAGGCTCTAGACTGACACATGCTCCCAAAATCAAGTCTGGCTACAAGCAGTGATTTCATAAAGCCAGAGAGACAAATACAATCTGGAGTTGTGCTTCTGTGAAATTAAACACTGTTCAACATCTGATATGAATGACAGGAGCCACATCTCTCTCAATGACAACCAGCATTTTCCACTCAAGCAACCAAAACAATGAATTTTAGATTTTGCTTTGTTGAACAGCAATGACATTATAGACAATCCAGTAGTAAAAAATGCCTTTGGGTAGAATGCAGACTGTCCCAGTTTGTATTAACAGAAAAAAAAACCACAACAGACCTCTTAATGTGTTTCTGTTGCAAAGGGAAAGTTCTGAAATCCTAAGGGAACCAATTACTAAAGTCAGACAGAGAACTTCCAGACTTGATAATTGATGGGGCTTGAAAATTACTGAAAACTGCCTGAGCAACTCACATAGGGAAACAGTCTGGTTCTAAAGGGACTAATTACTGCTTTGGCAGCACAGTTTGCTGTGAATGGAGAATGTGGCTCCTCATTTTGAAACTTCTGGTGGGCAGGTGTTACATTAAAAAAAATACCAACTATCAACTGCAGAGCTGCACAGATCAAAACCAGTAATATTGTTTAATCTGTACTTGAGAAATCCTGAATTAACTGAGCGCATTAGATTAAAAAGCTTACAAAATTGTACTGAAAGTTCTTTGTAAAGAAAATATTAATAGCAAACCACGTATTTGCCCAGCTGCATTTCTGAAATGTGAATTTTTCTTACCCTCTGTTTCTGTACACAACAAAAATTAGTGTTTAATGGCAATACACTGCAATTTGAAGGGGTTCTCAGAATACACCAGCTGTCAAAAGCACTTTAGCAGTTGCATAAAATACGGAGCACAAGGTTTTCAGATTTAAGATTTTATTTAGACCCATCCAGCTTGTACTGCAGCTATCATTTTCCCACTGAAAGGTGATGGGTAGAAGACTTCCAACTCTGCAAGGAAAAGAAATGAACCAAATTTAGGAACTCTACATTACTATTACAAATAAAATTATAAGTTATTCTTTGAATACAGAACAGCTATAAGCACATACTTCATTTAGAATTTTTGATGGGCTTGGCTTCATCCACCACTTGGTATTGCAGAGGCCTTGACTTACATGAAGCCATACAGTTCTAAATGCTGAAGTTCAATAAAAGGTTGCTGATTTTTGTTTCCTCCTGAGTCCAGGGACTCAAAAACATCAAACTGGCAAAGGAATTACACAGATAATTTCAATTTATTCCAACTATGAGACGCCAGTGAGGATTGTTATTTCCTTCCAAGAACTACCTGGGTCATTCCAGTTTCTGAAAAAACATGTTTTTCAGATTACAGAATTGACAAGACCAGATATTTCCAAGGTGGAATGGTATCAGGAAAAACTGAAGTAGCCTTTTAACTGTGAGTGACATGTTTACACAGTCTGGGTCATGTCTGAGGCTTGCTTTGCTAGGACCATCAGCAAGCATCAATTAATTTCTGTTAATGACCTTTTTTCAAGTGGACTTTAGCCCAGAACTAGTCAGGAATGATGTAGCTGGTATAATTGTTTGGATATGGCTAAAGAAGCTTAAGAAATCTTGTTTTCTACTGCTCTTTATCTGGCACATCAGAAAGCATTTACAGCATCACAGTTTCTTATCCTATTTTGTCACATCACCCCTGCCAGTTACTCCTACAGGTCATGTCAGGTGTACCTTTGTGCTTCCTCAAAGGTGAAAGCAGACATGGCTCTAGTTACAGTCAGAGATGTGGCCTCTGGGGAGGCAAAGTTCACAAACCACTGAGTGCAGCAGCTCTGTGACACAAACTAAAACCTGTCCATTATTTGAGCCATTATGATGCAACTGCAGACCACAACTGTGAGCACGTGGACTGCAAAAGGCTGAAAATTACAATGTTTTTTGATGAGGCCAGGCTCTTCAAATTCCACTGTGCTGTGAAAAGCAATAAAATCAGTTACCCAGTTAGTGCAGTTACAGTCCGTGCCCTTCATTTCTTCAGGAGCTGGTGTCTGACTATGAGGAAAGGGGCAGCAAATCCACTTCCAAAGAACCCACACATGAGTGCCAGCAGCTGCCACTTGTTCTCCACAGAGAAAGGCAGGTTCTGGAGGAGAAAAGGGAGCTTTAGTTTTGCAGTCCGTGCAGTTTAATTGCTCTCTCATTGACCTGAAAACGGTGAGAAACTCAGAGCACTAACAGGTAGAGACAAGCTGGTAAAATAAACATGTCATTTCAAAGTAGTTTACCTTCCTTTCAAGGAAAGAAGCACGGTGTTTGTGATGATGAATAATCAGCTACTATCTGAAGGGCACCTACAGGGAAGCTGGAGAGAGACTTCAACAACTGTGGTGACAGGTCGAGGGGGAACAGTTTCAAACTGAAAGCGAGGGAATTAAGGCTGGATCTATGGAAGAAATTCTTCCTGTAAGGGTGTTGAGGCCCTGGCACAGTTTGTCCCATCCCTGGAAGTGTCCAAGGCCAGGTTGGACGGGGTTTGGAGCAACCTAGGCTAGCAGAAGGCGTCCCTGCCCGTGGTAGGGGGTTAGAATTGCAAACCTTAACACTCCCTGGATGTGATCTCTGGAGGTCACTTTGCCGCCTCTATCTGCAGCCCAAAGCGGAGCCATTTTGCTGCAGGTCTCACCCTCTTCCTGAGGACACACATCCACAGCCTCCCCAGTGTCCTGGTATTTAATTATTTGCCCCGTGAAGTTTTTCCTCACTTCTATTAGATACGCTTAAAATTAAGTTTTTAGACGCGGGGCTTTGAGACAACCCACCCAGTACAAGGTACATCAGAAAGCGTTTACAGTATCATTGTTGCTGCTCATACCGCAATGCTCATCATCTGTACCACCGCAGGGAAGGGCGCTGGGGGCCACCACCACAGGCTTTAGTCTGCTGTGGCTTTGGCGCCACCCCAAAGCCACACAAAGCAGGTGATCACAGGGCGGCCATCACAGACATCCCCGATACCCCCCATCCCCCACGACCCTGAGCGGACCGAAACGCTCCTGCCCACCTTCCCAGGTCCCTCCTCATAGTGGCTGCGGCGGATGGCGGAGGTTGCGAAGCGGCGGACGCCGGCGGACAACATGATACAGACGGGACTCGGCGGTGACTCGTCCGCCCTGCCCGACCTTCCCGAGCGCGGTGGGACTGAGGGGGAGCCGGAAAAGGAAGGGGGAAGTGCCGGGGCATGACGGGAGTTGTAGTTCCGAGGTTGTCACGTGGGGCCGGGTCACCGCTCGCGGTTGGTCGAGCCACGCGCGTGCACGGCGGCGGGAGAGTCCCCGCCCTCACCCGCCGCCATTTTGTGGTGACTGAGGGGAGGCGGGGAAATGGCGGCAGGGGGCTGAACCCTGAGCGTGTGGCTCTGATCCAACTTTATGCGAGGGACAGGGGACAGCCTCTAATGTAGAACTACCAGATCTCGATAAATGGGCGAAAAATAGAATCACAGAATGGTTTGAGTTGGAATGAACCTTAAAGATCATCTTGTTCTAGCCCATGGGCAGAGACACCTTTCACTAACCCAGGTTGCTCCAACCTGTCTTTGGAGGGCCACAGCTTCTCTGGGCAACCTGTGCCAGGGCCTCACCACCCTCATAGCCAAGAATTTCTTCCTACTACCCTATCTAATACTACTCTCTTTTGGTCTGAATTATTCCCCCTCATCCTGTCACTCCATGGTCTTTTAAAGAAGTCTCTCTCCATGATTGATAGATGCTGATGATTTATGTAGTTTCACTAACTTTAATGAATATATTGCAGATTACTTAAATTACACTTCAAAGAAACTTTGACAATATGAAGGTAAAAAAACCCCTCCACCCTCAGCACCTTTCATGTTTGTCAAAGGAATAATAAACACCCACAAAGTTATTTCCAAAATTGATGGTCTCCATCTGTATGTTTTACACCCAGTATATAAAAAAAAAACAACAACAAAATCTGGTTTTTTTCTTTATTTTAGGAAATGAATTTTGTCGCTTCAGTAAATGAAAGGGATGCTGCCACCTCAGTGTTGCAAGGAAACAAATTTTTTCATAGCTTTTCTGCATATTTTTGTGCTAAGGGAGGATAGAAAACCAGGATCTTCATGCTCACCAACATAAGACATTTATAAGAGCAGACTGAAAGAACTTCAAGAAGTGTGGCTTAATTGGATTTTATTTAGAAAGTCTGTTTTGGAAAAGAGTCACTGCGAACGGTAAGGAATAATTATTCCAGATTACATTGGGAGGCAGTCTATTAAAGCAGAAGACACAAAAGCAAGATTAAAGAGGAGTTTTTAAAATATTTAAAGTATCAAATGAAATTATTCACATAAAGTGGAACTAAGTAAAAAGATAGGTTTAATTTCCGGGAATGATTTCATTTATAAATTGCAAAACTGTAATATGAATGAATTTGCACTAGGTGAACTTGTGAGGTTTGCAATGCTGGCCTCTCCTTATGGAAGCAAAATCAGCACTTTATTCAGATATCTGCTTGTTCTGGCATTGTTGTGGCATCTACTAAAAAAATCTTGTATAGATTTCAGTCTTCTTCTTCAGAAGGAGTTGCTCTAGAGCTGAAGAAATTTGTGTGAACACTCATATCTGTTCTCCTTCAAAGCATAAACTGATACAAAGAATGCTAGTCCAGGTGTGCGAGAAAGCTATGCAGGAAGAGTTTAGAGTAACAGATTCAGCTGGCATCGATTGGTTTTTGTCAGAGAAATGAAAGATAATATCTTCCAAAATGTTAGAAATATGAGATACAATAGTTATAATGAGGATAATCAGGTAGCAGGGCAGATTATTACAGGAGATGGTAAATGCTGTACTGGCTGCCTTTGTAAAAAGAGTGTGTAACTCACAAATCGTGGGACTCACAGTCACTGGGTGAAATTCCCTGCCCTATGTCATGGGTAGGGTCAGAATGGGTGATTACAGTGGTATCTTTTAAATCTATGAATCTTTTTAACATACATCTTTTTATATCTACAGTCCTTAGTTCCTGTAAAAACCCGCTGTTACTATAATTGCTTAGATTGCCAGATTCTTCATCTTCAACAATGTATTACATTTTACTGCTTGTGAATATGACTTGGTGATGAATTCTTTCAGGTGCTGCTTTCTTGCTCACTTTCCCCCACAAAGAACATTTGTGTTCTTGAACTAGAAAGCAGAAACACAAGTAAGAAAAAAACCCTAGGTAACTAAAGAAAATAATGCACAATATCTGTCTTGTGTGATCTTGATGGAAGATAAAAGCATAGAAAGCTTAGTGTACATTTTACAAAATAAATAGGGCCATACGGTGCTGTGCACTTTGAAGCTGCCAGTCACTGAAATACAGTGATAAAACCAATCAAAGAAAACTGACTTTTTAAATCCCCTTTTATGAGTGAAGGAAACAGCTGTTTTTAAGGACTGGAGTTATATATGATTAGGTTCAGATGCATGTACCTCATGAAAACTTTTTAACAGCATAAACTCAGGAGGTCTCAGGAGGCAAAACAGCCATTGTAAATGACACAAAATTATATTTTTTCTGCGGAAATTGTCCTGTGTTTTTGTTAGCACAATAAATTATTTTGTGTTGCGCTTCATATTAGGAGTCACTCTCCTTCCAGTCATAAGGTCAGGTAATAAACACAGGATGAAGCAGTTTTTAAATGCTAATTAATGAAAGGGAAAGGCTGACTAGAAGATATAAGTGGCATTATATAATGGATATTAATTACGTGTTTTTTAGCAAAACTGTGGGTTAATAGAAATATCTTTGATAATTTGTCAGTCTTAGTCTAATTTCACAATTATAGAAGAAGGTCTTTCATAAGAGTAATTTAGCTTGTCATCTATGTGATAGTTGGGGGTTTTTTTCCCAAAAAGTAAGTATTATGTTACAAATGTAAAATAAACAGATTAGAGTATTACAAATAACATGAGGTCTTGAACTGCAAAAAGAACGGTTAGTGTGTGAAGCATCTGTATTTAGCACCATGAAAAGCTGGAAACCTTGAAGTGAAACAATACAAATAATATTAGTTTAAAAGAATTATCACTTGTAGAAGATATTTACCTTGATTCGAAAGAGCCCACATAAGTTGTTGGAAAGTGGAGTAGTGAGAAGAATTGTCCTTTTGGAAACAGTTACAGTGTTTTTGTAAACACTGATAGTCTGAGGATGCTCTTGGGAGAAGGTTGTTAGGAGAAGTAGCATCTTTTATTCTTCCATTACAGCTGTTAAAACCAGTCAAGCTTCCAAATGTGTGAGCCTTCCTTAAGGCGTGAAACTGAGTGACTTTCAAGTGTAAATATACACTGAAAGTAATTTTTGCAAGACATAATTCAAAGGACACTTTCCCCCCCACAGCAGTTCTTTCGAGTGAATGATTTCACAGATCCAGTTCACTGTGTAGAGGGCACGAAGACTTACACTGGCCCACAGAAAGGTGTGAAACAGCTGTAGCATTAAAAAGGTGGAAATGGAGGCAATAGCATTAATGCTTTTCTTGGCAGCAACATCAGTTAGTGTTGGCAAAAAGAGCTTGTCCAACTACAGCTTTAGTACTGAATACATATATATATATATATTATTTCGGATTAGGGCATGAGGAAATTATTACATGAAACAAATAAAATTCTTTCCCAAGTGCCAGACTTCTAATGCCTAGAACATTTATTAATTTTGTTTTTCAGGATCATCCGCGATAACATTCAAGACAAGGTGTGGAAGGTGTTAAAATATTATCCACAGAGTAGATTTCAGTGTATCATGTTATGTTATAAACAAGACGATAAAATAATTGGAAATTTATGTTTTGTCCTGTAATGTCTTTATGTCCAAAGGTCTCCCTGATGAGTGTTATCTTCCTGTCAGCCATGCTCCAGAAATGCAACTTTAAAATGTCTTTAAAACTGTGTAATTAATGTTTTTAACCTCTTACAGTTAACATAAGACCCTATTAACACTTAACATATGCAGTTTGATTTACTGTTCTCAACCTAAATTGAAATACTATGATTTTAGCATCTGTTTGAAACCCAAAAGTGGGCCTGTGCATCCAGATTTGGGCTGTTAGCTCTGGCTGAATAATTTAGTTTACTACAAGGATTGTAGGGGGAAGTAACACAGTACCTGTGTAATTCATGCTTCTAAACCATCGTGACTACAAAAGTGCTTTAGGCACTTCTTTGCAGTGTTCCTGTTTATTAGATGGGTCAGTCACTTGTAAGTACTGTAGTGTCATTTTGTTGTAAAAAATACAGGTATTATGAAAAGTTGAGCACAAATTTATAAGGTTGAATTTATAATGTTACAAGAGCAGGTTGAACACAGCTGTAGCTGGATGTGCATAGTGACAAAATTACAATTTTGGCAACATACCTAGATAAATTTATTTTCACCTTACGTGAAATAATTCAAAAATTGCACCTTCATATAAATGACTCCTTATGGATGTGAACACTCATTTTTACATACAAAACCATGTTTCAGCAGCTGAAATAAGTGTCTGACAATGATATTTCAACCTGACAGAATTTTTATTTTTTGTTATTAATCTTTTGCAGCATTAATTAAACCTGCCAAAAGTCTGTATGAAATATGTAATGGAAGGTTTGTTACGCAGAACCTATTTTAGCGGCCTTATGAGAACAAAGCACTTGCACAGTGAGAAAGAGCCATTTTGCACTATTTATTTTGTCTTCCTGTCTTTCTCTAAAATGGACTATGTAAAGCTCCATATTTTTATCATAGACACCAAGATATATTTAGTTTATAATTACAGTAAGAAGTGTTATAATTACTGGCATTTTGAACTATCTCATTGTAATAGTCATTGCTTGGTTGCTAAAGCTTGTGCTTGAAGGAGCTCTTTTGTGCATAGGAATATCTAGGAGCCCCAGAATCACATATTTGCCCTAAATTTACTTGGAGGTGCAATAGTCAATTTACATGGTAGTAAAAACCAAAAACTGCCCTTATTTTTTCTGCCCTAACTGTGCTTATTTTTTCTGTAGTTTAAAAAGGGACTTAAAAAAAAAATTACTTCTGTTTGTTTGTTTTGCTTAATCGGGGGGTTGAAATCTAGTTGATGATTTCTCCATCAACAGGACAATATGCGGTTCAAAATATGCAAGGGGGCAGAAAAGAGCCCTCAAAGTTATTATTACTTTCTTTCTC